CTGATACAAAAAGTCAGGCTGGAAGCTGTCTATTAAGTTATAACCAGTGACTTGTCCACAAGCAGTACAAACAGAACATTACAGTTACCAAGTTTCATATACAATAAAAATGTCCAACGGAAACAGCATGTTTTATTTGATTCTATTTGGAGGATTCCTCTCTGTTATTAGGGCAATTTTGTACCATTTTTCTTGTCTAGATTCCTGTAAATATATCTTCCACATATATAAACCACTTGCATTAGCTTAAGAAGCAAATTTCATTGGGGTACAATTTTAGAAGTATAGAGGCAGAATATTAGTAGACCTCTTTATGGAATTACTTCTCCTCCCACCAAATTTTAAATACATGGATCTATTCTGAGTTTTATATGCTTTGAAACAAAGATTAAGAAAGATTTCCAACCCAGAGCGACGCTGATCTCACTCTTGGAAAGCCTGCTTTTTAAGAGGCACCCAGCAAAACTCCATGCTCATATCTTCTCAAATTTCTCTACCACAGCGCTTCAGCCTCCTATAAGGAACCACCCACAAAACACGCTGCAAAGTCTTCTGAAGGCTACCACTTTCCAGCTAACCTGGGTGAGTAGTGGTGAGCAGTACTGGAAACAGAAGATGGATGCTCAGAGCTGAGAAGACTCTGAGTTTACCCAAACCCTGCCTTCAAGCACTGTTTATAGCTGTTTGCAGTATTACACTTCAGCTTGAGCAATGTACTTACATTTGTGTGCAATTCCCAAATCATATAGCAACAGCAAAAGGACTACTCACGAATCTGAAGCTATGTATAATATCGCTGAGTCAGGAGCTGCTTGAATGAAATCAAGATTTCCAGTACAATCACTCTGACCGCAGCGTTGTTTGACTAGCAGCAGCAATATACTACACACACTCCCTTCTTACTGGTCCTTCCCTCGGAGCAAATGGTTCCAAGTTCAGAATGACCTCACTAATTAAGAAGGTATTGCTACTTAAAATGTGACCTGAATCCTGAAGTCCAAACACACTGCAAAACCACCAAAACCAATCTCTGTTTCATTCATGGCAAAACACAAGGGTTTGGCAAGATGAAATGACATGCCCAGGATGATACACTCTGCAGAGTCGGGAATGCAAGACTAGAGTGACAGGTGGTAGCATTCACTTTCAAAACACCGGTGAGAACTGAAGCACTGAAAATCTTAACAATTGTACAAAACTAAGCCATGGGTTTCATTAAGTTAGTAGCTGTGACTTCTAAATTAAGCTTTACTGTTTCTTCACCATCTCCTTTTCCTTTCTCCTCTCTGTGAATTAGATTTGCAACAGGGAAAACAGGACCAGAAATTTGATGCCACTTGACCAAAACGGCCCAGCCAGTACCCAGCTGTCTGCAGGTCAAAGTACAGTTTTCAATGCAAGTCACGTATTTTGGAATTAGTATTCATGTACTGGCTACTAATAAAATCCAAAGTATTTGTAACTTGTGATAGCTGCTATTGAAGAAAGCACGTGTTTCAGTTGCTGTTTCTTTTTAAACATAATCAAACCATACAAAACTTGATGAAATAAAAGAACTTCCATAAACTGAAGAAAAAAAAGTATTAAAACTATGTTCCTACTTGCCCTTTCTTAGCATACCACAGTATCATTCATGCTTTATTCTTGGTGCCTGCTGGATTGCATGTTTCAGTAGAGTCTTGCACAGAGCTGGCTACTTTGAACTCCTGCCTTTAGTTACAATCTAGAAATACTTGGTCTGTGAAACTACTGCAAAGTGTCAATATTTGAAAAAATTGATTTCTGATGTCAACACCCCAACTATATTTGCATTATTTCCAACATTTAGTGACAATGTGAACAATCGGTTTCATAAGTGTATAAAGTAAAACCCCCACAAACACAAAATAATCCTCATAACGGTGTTTTACTCTTTTATTCTGCCATTTGTTTTTTGCCCGAAAACTAAAGCATGGTGTGACTGGGGTAAATGCTAAGCAATGTTTGTGCCAGCTCAGACACCACTTCAATATTTCACACAAAAGCAGAATTTGATTTTAGAATTCATGTGTGGTTGTTAGCAGTGTTCCACACATGGGTATGGAATTTTAAATGGTCATTTAAAACTGTAAAGCTAATTAATCAATCTGTTACAAAGCATGAATAGTTTAATCTGGATGTTCTAATACCACTGAGATGGGATTCCTTTCTGACAGACTATATTAAAAGAATAAATTTTAATCAGACTTTGAATGATGGCTGTAGCTAACTTCATCCTAAAGATGCTTTCAGCATCCAGGTTGCCTAGAGAAGCACCAATTTTTATCCTGCTGGAAAGGTAGCTTTAATCCACGAAGATGCCTTCCAAGGCAAAAGCCAACACATGTAACCATCCACACAAACAGGAATCCAGACTCCGTCACAATCTACTTTGGAGGTATCCACATTTCACAACGGCGGTGAAATATTTGTAGGATAGGCAAGGCCTTACTGGACTGGAGTTTTAAACCTTCCAACTTGTCAAGTTGTTGCACTGTGAAATGACACTCGGGTTCTGCCTCCATCTGACCATCTCTGTTGTGGAAGCCACTGGCACACTCGGATTCAGATCCTTAGACCAAAATGTTATTTTCAGTCAGGCAGTAACACCTTTGGCCAAACTGTTAAACTACATGTCTCTCTTTTCAAATCACTTCCAGGCAAGCCTGTCTTCAGAAGATGGGGCATTCTGCAGCGCTGATGGCTTGAGCACATGCTTGACACCGCAGTCTGATACAAGGAACAGAACACTAAATCTTCCAGGGATCAAGCAGTGTCAGCATGCTTACCGCCCTGATCATTCACAGCTTGATTTACAGACCACCGCAGTCACTGACAGAGCAGAGAATGAACTGTGAGCTTCTACACGATGCTCAGCATTGCGATGAAATTTTTATAGCCCAATTGCCTTTTATTTGAAAACTAATTTTAAATGTGATTTTTCATGCAATTGTTTCTTCATGTGCAGTAGTAATTAATTTGCTTTAAGTTGCCTAAGATCTTCCTAACGCGGTAGAAAAGTGAGACCCAACTGCAATTCAATGGACAGGCTGATCTATTTCCTTAGGTATCCATTCACACACACACGTATTTCTCCTTTGTAATTTAGAGGACCTCTGAGGTTATGATAAAAACTTCTGTCCTTTCCTCCCGGCACCAGCCAATTCTACCCAGTGTTTGGAAGGATTCACGAACTTGTGAGCAGTCCCTGCGTTCCAGTTCAAAGGCGCAGAGGAAGGCCTCGTTATTCGCGGACATTGAGGAAGGAGCCATGTGGATGACGAGCTGTCTTTCTACTTTCCTCTCCCTCTCACTTTTGACGTCCCAACACAACAGCCCACTGGGAGGGTGACATGGGGGGAGAAATATACCAAACTTGTAGAAGGGTAGAACTTCCTTCCTCAGAGTGACCTTTATAAACTAAAATAGCCATAAACCATTTGCCAACCTGCGAGCTATGATCTACGAAATGACAGTGCCTGAGTGTCCAAATGACTTCCACGCAAACACCTGCAATGCTGGCAAACGTGCACATGATAAAACTCTGCCGTGTGTTCAGTACGTGCCGCGTCCCATGGATCTCCTCCCTTTCTAGTCTGCAATCTTCTCCCACTCTCCAGTTCCTCCTGGAGTTCAGACTATTCTGTGTTTTCCTCATCCTTTTCTGTCCCAACTTCTTTTCCCCTTTTATCTGCCCCCCAAACCTGGCTTCTTTACATTTCTGATCCTTTGAAGATCTCTCATTTTTTTCTTTCCACCAAGCCAAACGACAACCTCCTCTCTCCGATGAAATATTTCCTTTTTCCTACCTACCCATAGCTGGGATTGCTCGCCCTTTTACTGTGTGCAGTCCCTGAAGGCTGCAGAGGAGAGACGGCCAAGGAATGCTCTTCTCTCTTTCCAGAATGGATGGTTTCTTGGTACACTGCGCTCTCCCCAGAGAGGAGCTCCTCAAGAGTTCTTTCTCTGGCAGGGTCACAAAGCTGGCTGACAACAGCTCTCCTCGGCTCCACAGGAAATGCTTTGATGGCAATTGACTCTCCTCCCCAGGCAGAGCATCAAAGTGCAAATCACGACTTCCCCTGGAATTCGGATTTGGTTGCGCGAGCTAGAACAATAGCGGTGATGCTAGACAGGCTTGATAATGGCTTCTATTTTAACTTCTGCCTTCATTTTTCAGAGCTGCCTGTCACTTGGCATTACTACCGTGCTTGCTGACCAGCGATATGTTTGTTTTCTTCTACTCCCTGCTTTTGTGTGGCTGTATTCCTCTACAGATTCCTCTAATGCCTTCACTGCCAGCTCTGTGGGGCAGGATGATTCCCACCCTATTTGCACAGCCCAGTACGGTGGGGGCCAAGGCCCCCTCGGTGCTCTGTTAATACACAGCATCCAACCCTCGCGTCTGGTCGCACAACAAGGACAGCACTGGCAGGAAATGAGACCTTTCCTTGCTCCCTGGAGCCTGCCTACTGCCTTGCATCAGACAGAGCAAAACAGCACAACGGGCAGGATGTGTGCAAGGGAGGAGTTGAAAGAGTGCCCAAGTGAATGGGAAGTATCCAGATGGCTCTGGTAACTCACACGATGGGAGTCAAATCAAAACAAAACGAAAACAAAACCATATGCCGTGTACCCTTCGCTCTCTTGCTCTCTTTCTCTCTGCCTTTCTGCCGGCTGTTGCCCCAGGTCTTTCTATCAGTATGGATAATAGTCTGTCACTCAATTACATGTATGTCATGAATAACAATAACCCCTCTTCTACATTAGAGATCATGAATTACTATTATTCATGTAACAAAGAATGTAGTATGAACCACAAAATTATACTCTTGTAAGGGTCAAGGAAGTGTAAGGCTCTACAAGGGAAGTTATATTTCTTTATTAAATCCTTCTTTTCATCTGGTACACTGTATACTTATAAAAGAGAATATTAACTTTACAAGTCTATGTTGCTATATGCTATAGAAATATCTACTCACAACCTGCTTGTATCTCAGGGGGAGTATTCAAAAGCATCATGGCAGTGGCAGCATCAATGTCAGGATCTGGAAAAATCAACCAATAAATACATTATTTACAACTGGGCTAATCTTCTTGCCCCCGTTGCTAAACTATAGGTTCAACCAAATCTCTGCAGGGAAAAGGTGTAAGAGTTCATCATTCAGCGGGCTCGTTGATCACACATTGAATTTACCCCCAAATCTGCATGTGATCCCATTGCTACTATTCGAGTGCGGTGACAAAGGTCACCACACCATACTCGTGTGTGCATGACAGTTTTCACTGTTAGCTTCATGAGTTTGCTATTTAATTCTGCGGAGAGTATTTAGATTTCATTACAAAGGATCTGTGAAAGCAGGTGCAACATCACAGTTTGGAAGCAACACACAGGGATGAGCGCAGAGTGGGAAAGCATAAGGAACACCTACACCTGAGCAAGTACAGAAGATGACACTCGGTCATTTCCATTTGTCGATAAGGATTTCAGCGATGTTTGAGAAAGTGTTGGAAGCCAAACTGCTACAATTAAGCGGAAGAAGAAGGAAACTGGCACGTCATTGAAGTGCCAACTTATTTGCATCCTCATCCACTGTCAGTTCACTATAAGCAAAAATCATCGGCTGGCTGCTGTTATTCGTAAATTGGTTTCTGAATCCACCACGAACAGTCAGTTGACAGATGGTAAGTTATAGAGACAGAACAAAATATGATCCTTTTATAACTATATTCACTTGCTCCACACACAGCAGCTCGGCTGCTATGGCAATGTAGGTAGCTATGACAACAGTAAACAACTCCAGAACGGCCACTGAATAAGCTGAAAAGAACATCTGCCCCAGCAAAGCGTCCCAGCTGCCCTGGGGCGCAACTTGCTAATCGTGCAGTGATGCCGTGTGACAGAGAAAGCCGCCTATGCCATGTCCAAATAAATGAAGTGTGCAATCGAAGCAGACATAAAAACGCACACCCTGGCTGACTGCTGCCTCTGCGCTGCGAAACTGAATGACTAATGAGTATGCGTTTGTTGTTTGCTTTGGGTTTTTTTCCAGCTTGTCAGTATTTATACTAAATTACATACCAAAAAATTCAATTTGCTGCTAATAGCTTCATGGCACTTTATTTTGGCTATTATGTCAGAAAATTACTTTTCACTGTTAAAAATATATGTGTATTGTACCTTTATATATTTCAAATCTATTTCCAGTAATGTGATGTGCTATAAAGTCCTGCAATTTATTAGCAATACAAATGACGTAGAGAGGATTTCAGTATCTGCTTAAAAAAAAAGAAATTCACTTGACCAATTAAGAACAAGAAAGGGCTTTTGTATTAGTTTAAGTATGTACTATTTTTATGTGAATAGCTGGCAACACACTTCTAATGGCTACTTTATCATTTAATCGCTGAAATAGTAAACAGAGCAACAGTGTAGCAGGTGTCAAACTGAAGCTGAAGCAGCAGCAGACTAAATTATTATAAAAGGTGCCCACATACTAGAAAGCAGGTGCCCGTCTGTCTCCTGGACAGGTCCGCACACCCTTTTCCAGGAGCCACTAGAAGACTACTGAGAAAAGCAGCTTTACCAACTCCAGTTCATCTTCAGGTCTGAAGATACATCAGAGGCATGCCATGAGCACCTATGCTGAAAGTGCCATTCCCAAACAGCTTCACCCCCGAACACGTGCCGTGCCGCAGGAGTGGGTCCACACAGCACTCGGCCCACACAGCAAGAGTTTCGCTTCAGTCAGAGCTTCCTTTCAGTCAGACTGAAGAGGGATAAACTGTCCAACATTATGAAGCAAGACAAAAAGCAAAGAAGCCTGTGAAATGAAGCCAAACCAGAATTCTCCCATCTCTTTCATACCATAAAATCAGAAGATTGTTAGAAGTTGAGTTTACTGTATCATAAATCATTCACTCACCTTCAGTATTTGTTTATCAGCTTTTCCTAAATTTTGTTGTCTTGTCTCACTTTAAATAAGGTCCCACCATTGGGTAACATTGTAGCATAATGTTAATTTTGCTCTTAATAAAAGGATACAATCAGAAAAAACACATTTCCTGCTGACTTCGGGTTTTATCTGTGTAGCAAACTCTGTGCCTTGAGATAAAACTGATGCAACCAGTTTATCTTGAAAGGTGCATTCTTAGCCTTTGGGACCACTAATGGTACCATCATGTTTCTGTAATGACTTCACAGCACTAACACGAGCTGTTTACAACACATGACTGCATCCACAGCAGCTGTTCTCCAAGGCACAACCATGATTCAAGCCCACCCACACCTGCTAGTCCAAGAGTGCTGGGGGACGACAAGTTGACCATGAGCCAGCAGTGTGCCCTGGCTGCCAAGAAGGTTAATGGTATCCTGGGGTGCATTAGGAGGAGTGTGGCCAGTAGGTCGAGGGAGGTTCTCCTCCCCCTCTACACTGCCCTAGTGAGGCCCCATCTGGAGTACTGCATCCAGTTCTGGGCTCCCCAGTTCAAGAAAGATGAGGAGCTACTGGAGAGAGTCCAGCGGAGGGCTACAAGGATGATGAGGGGTCTGGAGTACCTCTCCTATGAGGAAAGGCTGAGGGAGCTGGGCTTGTTTAGCCTGGAGAAAAGAAGGCTGAGAGGGAATCTTATAAATGCCTACAAATGCCTTAAGGGTGTCAAGAGGATGGGGCCAGACCCTTTTCAGTGGTGCCCAGAGACAGGACAAGGGGCAATGGGCACAAACTGAGTCACAGGAAGTTCCAGCTGAACATGAGGAAGAACTTCTTCCCTCTGAGGGTGACAGAGCACTGGAACAGGCTGCCCAGAGGGGTTGTGGAGTCTCCTCCGGAGATATTCAAGACCTGCCTGGACAAAGTCCTGTGCAGCCTGCTGTAGGTGACCCTGCTCTGGCGGGGTGCTTGGACTAGATGACCCACAGAGGTCCCTTCCAACCCCTACCATTCTGTGATTCTGTGCTATGGTGTCTAGCTCTGTTTCTATTGGTATATTCTTGCATAAACCAGACAGCTATTCTATAGTGCCTTGGCAGCGGTAAGAGGGCTTAGAGACACGCGCCCAGGGTGGTGTCAGTAGGATCCAGGACAATGTGTTTTGGGTTGTCCTTCTCCAGAAAGAAAAAGGAGGGACTGGCTGCATAAGGAAAACCAAGGCCAAGGGCCAGCAGTCAGAGACCACCCAGAGAGGTGCAGAAGCAACATCTGAGGGCAAATTGAAAGGCCAGTTTTATTCTTGCACAGCGTTTACACTTGCAATTTGGAGGTGTTCTCCTAAGACGGATGTCAAGAAGAAGAGCCAAGAAGTAGTCATGAGGAGCAGCAGTGAAGGCAGACAAATGAAGGGCACCTTCGCTTGGAACTGGGGTTTGCTGCTCAGACTCCTGGTACCCACCAGTACCCCCATGCTGATGGCCCTTTCCCCACAGCCGGCATCTTTGTGAAGTCTCTTCCATGTGGATCCTCTCACTTCTAGCAGTAAGAGCTGACATTGCGTGGCAGCCCAACCAGCTCGGTAACTGGATCCTCTCCCTTCTGCCCGCCTGTCTGCATTCTGAAGCTGTGGATTTCATAAGCGAGATCTCTGCCCTGCCTGATGTCTGCGATCAACACAAAGGCTCCTGAAGTTATTAACAGTGGGTGGTTAGCGAAAAATGATTGCAGGAACATCTTTCCC